GCCGAGCGAAAATCATGGTTCAGCAACTAAGCTTAGTGCGAAACCGGTAGAATAATGGCGATGAATAGAACGGCCGTTGTTTTTGCTACTGTTGACAATCCTAACCTACACAGGTCTGATATTGTATGATAGTATGTCCCACAACTTAGGCAATAAAGACAGCCAGCCATTCGCAAACATCCAAGACTAGTCCCTCCAATCAATTTTTCGTTACAGTCTACGACATGGATGTTGAATAATTGTGGCTTCACTCTTTCCATAGCAAAATAAAAGTGCAATTACAACAGATATTTAAAAAAAATTAAAAACTTATATCTGTAGAACCAACGGTATTAATGCATCTGCCTCCTCTGCCACAAGGATAAAACCGACATTCGTTGACTTCTGTTACAATAAAAAACGTTCATAAATCAGTTAAGAATTTGGATGTAACATTTACAGCAACGTTTGTATAAAAGCTTACCCCCAATCACAATTATTTAGCATGGCTACAAAGTCATCTAATGACTTTTCAGGGCCTGTGTTGCACTCAATGAGTGTGAGTGCTAGTGAGCTTTATAATAAGGGCAAAATTTGCAACATATCATGCATATCATACATAAAACTTACGAACTTTTATGCATCAGCAATAATTTTGCATACATCTTCTTTTAAGTTCATTTAACAACTAGAAATTTTTGACTGCAACTGTGAATCCAACTGAGAAGGGCCACTTTTTAAATCATCCTAATATTGCTAAAAAAAATTATATTGTTCCCGTCTTATTTATTTAAAATTATTTAATCACCTGATGGTAAATGATAAACGAAAAGATTTTTTTAACTAAAAGAAATTCTAATATAAATTTAAGCAGCAATGTCGAACATCTTAATGATGTCGTAGATTTGCTCATGCCAACACCGCCAAAATATTTTTTAGAAATTTTAAATTTTCTTTGGAAATGTAATAACAAATAAATGTTTTAAAATCCTAAGAACAAATGCCGACAAATAAGCATTTCCAATTCCATTCATAATTAAGAATTCATTATCTCCAATCAGCTTTATTTTTTGTAAAATATTACAGCTTTAAGATTTTAATAGAATCGATCTTTGAAAACAGAGAAATAAGTTTATGTAATATTTTGAAAATAAAGAAGTTTAAGAGCATGCACACAGATGTAATTATTGTGTATTATACGTCTGTGATGACTTTACACTACTCGTTCAGTGACGTACGCTAACTGTATTAATTTTCTATAACTGACTTTCATTGGCTACCTTACTGAAACGCAATAAAACTTTTTTTGGGTTTTTTGGTGGTCTATAGAGAATGATAACATGGCGATCTACGGAGATGAAATATGGGAAGAACCAAATCAGAACGCTTAGAGCGTTTTTAGCATTATTTCTCTTTACGAAGAGCAAACAGATGCTTTGAAAAAATTCCTTTCTGCTTAAGAAGTCATTGAAAATCTTCCTACTTCGTTTGGCAAATCTTTTATCTTTAATCCTTTCCATTAATAACTGATGTTTTATTCTGGAGCAAAAGAGGGACCAGTAGTGTTGTAGTATTAAAGGGCAATTTTGCTGACGCACATCGCACATTAATTTTGGCCTTTCCTTCCACAAGTAAGCGGCTGTTTGTTTCTGCACTGATTACAACAGAATATGCAGATTATGTTGTAGTCCACCATAATTTAAATAAGTGTTACTCGATCACGCGTACTTAAATAATTGCAGGAATTATTCCGTCCTAGCTATGTATAAATATTCACAGACTTATACTACCTGGTAGATGCGTCGTTGTGCAGACTTAGAGTTTTAAGCTTTGCCAAGATGGCATCTTTTTTGACTTCTATTCTTCTTTGTTTATAAATGGTACTTTGTTGCACTAATTACATAAGGAAATTTAGACGCGGAAACACCTTACCATCACTTGCTATTTGAACAATTAAATGATCAATTTTTTGTGGTGAAATGTGACCGGTCAAGGAAAGCCTAAAAATCTTGTCGTGTACTTTTGATATTCATTTTATTGAATCAAAAAAGTACAGCAGTCGTTTGAATTGGGAGGGAGGAGGGGGGTGGGTGGGGTGGGGATAGGATCCAAGGTCAGACGTAGTAGATTAATCACTTCTCGTCTGTAGAAAATTTTGTTTACCTTGAGAGTTAGTATAAAGCTATCGATAAGTATGACATTAATTGATGCATCGTTGGCAATACATTTTTGTTGAAGTATTAACTTTGCCATGTATTTCTTAATTGAATAAACGCGGAGATCCCAGCTGGGCTGTTATTTTATAGCAAAATCAATAATCTCTCCTGGTTTTACACACGATTTGTTAAGCCATTTTTAAATGCTCTTGACTGAAGTTTTTCAAACAAGGACTAATGAGTAAGTTGCCGACACGCCGTTTTTCTGCCCTAGAGTGGTTTCAACATAAATTTAGGTAACAAACAATCCATACTCGACTAGAAAAAGCATGTGTGGCGAATAAAAGCAAAAATTTTTTGAAGTGTCAAAATTTTAACATGCCATGACGTTGCATCAGGCGAATATCCAACATTAAGAGTGTTAAATTTGTTAAATGTTACAAAATGATTACTGAATTGAACACTCGGATGTGTTTGAGGTGTACCTGTTTAGCGAGGAAACGATTGAAGAGCGCCTTCAGAAAAGCACGAAGAACGTCACGTGAGCATATACAAAATATGTTGTCAGTTCTGCTATGGAACATCTACGTCACATTGTAACATATGTAATACCAAATAAGAATTGGTTGAAGCTCAAACCAAATGTAAAATGCCCCGCAAAGATTTTTTACTAACATTCTGTTGGTTTTATGGCGGGTAAAATCTAAGTTTGCGTACAAGAGACTTAATGACTTCTTTTACGGCTTAATGGCTTTAGCTCAGATCTGTTTTCCACTGGCTAATAATAACCCAAGTATAGACCAATCAGCGCACTCATTTTATTGTGGTTATTCAATAATTGAAAATGACGATCAATTAACGAAAAACTAAATTTTCTTCCCGTATGTATACTTCCAATATCCATAAAGTAAAAAAGTGTCCTTGCACTCATTAGTCATTAAAACTCTTTATTTTGTCCAATCAAGAAGTACACCATGGCGTCAGAATATCTTAAAAGTCATAAAAGATTTTGGGGAAACGACAATTCTTTAAAACGTCCTGAAAATAATCAAGTTCCAATTCAGCTAAGTGAATTAATCAAAACGTTTCTGAAATGTATTCAAGAGGAAGGTTTGCAAACAGCTTACAATGGTTACGGATATAATCCACGGGAAACACAACCTCCAAGATCTGTTATCAATGGTATTAAAGATGAAAAGATCAGTGACGTCATTATAGTAGGTGCAGGAATGGCCGGTCTAAGTGCAGCGTATGAATTGAAAAAAGCTGGTCTTTCTGTGAAATTCTAGAGCAAACGGACCGTTATGGAGGAAGAATCTTTAAGTATGGTGTAGAAAGTGGTCTTACGTCTGATTTGTATGCAGAAGGTATGGATAAACTTGTTCCGTAGTGGGTGTTTGCTTGAATTTATAATTATTACATGTCGTCCATAATTTTATAAACAATCGCACAATTTAATAGAACTTTAATTTGGCAAGAATCTTAATCCACCCAATTCATAACTGTTTATAATTCCATTTTGTCATTAGATGCTTAGCTACATCATTTTTAACTATCAAAACAACTATCCCAAATGTTGTAGTCGAAAATACAAAACATATATACAGCAATTTGGTCTTTTAAGTGAAATTTGTGACAGCAAAGTTAATAAAAGGCTTTGTTTTGAATTTTTGGTTTGTCTATATATTTTGCATACAAAAGGACTTGAGGTAAAGGAGTTTTTTTATGACCCAAGTATGTTGGTGTTGCTATTAAGCTACATGGGATTTGTAGAAGTGCGTTTATTTTTGGTCACTGTTCTGCTGTGCAATGAAGTAATTTTCAATGATTCTTCTTCCAGATGTATTTGTGTCTCGTTGCAAAATAGAGTGGTATTGCTTCTTTTCTAAGATTGTATGCATTTATACAAAGTCAGCCGATTTTCCTTCCCCAAAAATGCCCCAAAAACCACAATATCGTCATAGAATCTCCCATATGCTAAACTACTTATAGGCACGACAAATAACTCATATGAACAAAAACAAATGAAATTTTGATTGATCAGACCATAGTTTTTTCCATTGCTGAACTGCCCCCTTTTTATGCTTTCGTGACAACAACCTTTTTTTCATTTTAAGGTTAGTACTTAGTGTCATCAACACGCTAAAAAGTAACTGTTACTTTCATTGATATTTTTCTCTTATCATTTGTTTCAAACACAAATTAGATAGTGCAAAACATTGTCTTTTGTTTAATGTCGAGAGTGATAAGACTCTAGTGACATGGTCAGTCTGATCTAGTAATGAAGTATACAAGAGCATGCATGAGCAAGTTACGCAACCTACACATAAGCCAAATTATGTTAACCATTAAAAGGTTTAAAATTTAAAAACTTTGATATTCTAGTTGATGAAGCTCCTCAGAACATTAAGAATTATGGCAGCATCGAATCTTACAGTTTTGAAAAAAATGAACTGTTTTTTTTTTTAGTTGGGGCTATGCAATTTCCAGGTGATGCTAATGATCATTCAGAGAGACCGCATTTTTTGGCGGACGGTTACATCAAGAGTTTCAATCTGTCCATGAAACCTTTTCCTAACTTTGACAAAAATGTCATTACCTGCATCTATGGGTTTCACGAGAAATCTGAAGGTGAAGTGTATAAAACAAAGAATTAATGCAACAACTAAATACATTGCATGCATGGCGCAAAAAGTTCTTTAAATATAAAGTTTTTAATATAGCAGGTCAATTTCAAGAAATTGTGTAGGTAGTGTCGACAGGTATTGCAAAGATAGGAGAGCTAGGTGACCAAAAAAATCATTGTCGATAATAAATTAACCACTTCACGTTCGGCCTGTTTTCACATTACATTTTGAGCTGAGAAGCATTTTGACAACATTTGGCCAAACTGGAAAGATGGCATGAATAATGCCTTAAAAGACGATATTTTGGATATTGGTAAGTGTAACGAGACTTTAAATTCTTCAGTTTTATTAAAAATATATTTTTCCTGAAAATCGCGACATTGTATTATTTTATTCTTGCAAGAATTTTTCTGGAAGTGAGAAATCTTGGAAGACATTTTCTGTAAATTGAGAGCAATGGCAATTAATCATGATTAATTGAAATTATTATACATGCCAAGCGTCACTTCCAGCAAAATGGCGCGCTTTGTTTCGCTCAGAAACATTTTTGCCGGTCCATTATTTTACGTAATGCGCTACGTTCCAAAATGCGTACTTTTACAATCAAATGAAACGAACTTTGTAAAGCAAACAGCAAAATGAAAAAAAAAAGAAAGCAAAAAACCATTTGCGAATGTGAGTCGAAGCAAAACAGCAAAGACAAGAAAGAAAGCAACTTCGTTTCAGGTCAAATGATGCCATATAATAAACTTTTTAGTAACCTTGCTTTCTCGGTCTTTGCTTAGAAATATCAGACCTCTATCTTTTTGTACAAACCTCGCCCTGCGGACTCGGTCTGTGCATAAAGACCTCGGTCGGATAATTCTACGTAAAGACCTCGCACTCGGCTATTAGCTAAGGGCTTAGTAAACTTCCTCCATTTTTTTGCAGAAAAATATTTTGATGAAACAATCGGTGCTGTTACAGACCAGCTTTACACTTGGTTGTCGAAATCAGAAATTGTTCATGATCAAGTCAATGCATGGGGACGTTGGATTGAAATCTGGAGTCAGTTTACGTTGGAAAGCTTTCTTGAAAGTAATATCGATGTAATCAAAGCTAAAGCCTGTTGAAGATAAAGCAGACTTGGATTTAGTTAAGCTTGGAAATCTTTTGCCATGGTCGAATGATGCTGTTCGTGGTTATTCTGTATTTTGCTATACGGAGCAGCTTGATCAGTCACTTGGATCCTATCTAAATTTTGAACTGGGAAAATGGTGTTCTAGTGAAATGCATTGCTTGAAAGGAGGGATGCATAGTTTGCCGAGAGCGTTTTTCAACGATGAAGGATTGAGTACGGATGACATAGAATGCAAGAAACAGGTCTTCGAAATAAATTACTGGTATCAAGATGAGTATCCTTTGAAAGATATAGTTGACGTGTTGTATTATTCAATTAGCGATGCGCCAAGTGTATATAATGCGAAGGTACGAGATATTAGTAAATTGAACATCGAGTATAAATAGTTTAAGGATAGTTGATACTTCTATTTTGTTGGTCTTTTTCACTTTTTTCAAAAATGTATGGCTGGTTTCTGTGCAATATTTCTTTTCAAATAGCTACAATTTTTCCTACTTTGTATATAATAGTTATAAGGCCTCAATTGTGACAAAAATTTGCTTTTCGATATTCTTACTACTGGTCTGAGGGCAGTATGCCTTTGCTTTTTGTTCGCATCCTATGGAATTACATTATCCGTCTAGTTCTATAGGGTTTCTACACTGCTTTTGCTAATTGTTTGTCGTCTTAGGAAAAATCATTAGTACTTCAGTTTACAGCTTTTAAATTAACTCTATAGCTCTTTGAACCCCGAAGCGTATCTCAACATCGTTCAGTGCTTTTGAGCAGCATTCTTTACTATTTTAGAACATGCGCACTGTGAAGTGCATATGCTGAATAATGCCTCGGGAGGAAAAATTTTTAGCTGTTCACTGAACTGCATGTTATCCCAGGATTTTAAAGCTCGACAAGTTGAGCGCGTTGGCACATATTGCTTAAAATAACGCAACAAACAAAAAAAGAATTGAGTGTTGCGTTTAGCTTAATTCACGGTAAATGGATTAGCTTTTAGAATATAGTTTCAACGCGAACCCGCTCTTCTCAGGGATTTAGTGGGGTCTGTAGGTCGTCTTCATTGGGACATCTTTAATTGCCTGTTTTCTGAAGTCTTACTATCTCCCAAGTCTCCTGAAACTTTACCAAAAGTAGCTGTTTGCTTTAATGTTGCCCTAAGAACTGAATTTCCATACATGAAGAATATATTTGACGTAACGTGACACTATACAGACGTAAAATTTAGCACCTGGCAAGATAAAATCGTAACCGTTGGTTGCCACCTAATGAGAAGTCTCCCCAAACGCATTGTGTCATTTACATTATAGCTATCTTATTGATTGTAGTTTTCAGCAATTTTTAGGACTGGTTATACTTGTCAATCACCAGGACAATTTTCAAATGACTGTTTAACTCAATGATTTTCACTTTCATTGATATGGATAGTCTTTAAAAATTACATATACCGTTTTATATGCACCTAACAAAGTGCACTTTCCTGGTTTTTAAGAATAAAAGCTAAGCAAAACCTTTGAAAACTGTTTGACTTTTGTTTAGGCAGTAATTGTTGCCACCCCAATAAATACTTTGCTTCAAATAAGTTTCAAACCAAAGCTTCACAATGATGAATCCCAGTTGGCGATGAGAAAATGTGTTCAACTATGGAAGATGTTTCTATTGTGCAATCAACAAAAGTTTATATTCAGACCAAACAGAGATTCTGGGAAAATGAAGGAATCAAAGGTGGTTTTTCTAAGAAAAACCTTCCCATAGGTCAGATTCATTATGTCACTCCGGAAGATCCAAACACAAAAGAAGGACTTGTTTTGATTAACACATGGATAAATGAAGGTCTGCTTTTTGGATCTATGAAAGAAGAGCAAGTGAAACAAAGGTGATGAAACAACTCGCAGAAATCCATCAGGCCTTCAAAGAAGACATGGTGACAACGTGTATTGTTCATGCTTGGTATAACCAGCCATCTTATCAAGGAGCGTATGGAGCAATGAAAGCTGCTCAACACAAAAATATAAGGTGTGCATGATATGGGGTAACGCATAATTCTTTAATTGAAGTGACAGGTTAAGAAACGAGATTATTTTTTATAAGATAATACTGTAAAAATGCTCGTCGCATTTTTTTCAATGTTTTTCTCAAAATCTCTGTAAAATTGTTGTTTTTTATATACTTAGAAATAACGTGAAATACAACTTATAACATTTTATGGACAATTTTCGTTTATATATGGTAGCTTCTTCAACTTTTACTCAAACTTTTATTCTCTAAAATTACAAAATTTACAATTTAAATAGAAACATTGGTATATATTATATTTTTTTCAAAATTAAGTATTTATGGGAGCCTATGGGAAACGTTCATTTTGCTGGTGAAGGTATTTCTTTTACCCCGAAGTGGATACAAGGTGCTTTGGAAAGTGGTTTAAAATCTGCATTTCAAGTTTATGAACGACTTATGGAAAGAACTTTTTACCAAAATTTGTGAATTTTTTTGCTTCTGTAACCTCACCCTTTATGTAAATTCATTTTTGTAATATAAAGATGTATTTGACGTTGACTTAATCCGCCACTGCTTCCGTAACCTCACCCTTTATGTAAATTCATTTTTGTAACATAAAGATATATTTGACGTTGTCTTAATCCGCCACTGCTTCCGTAACCTCACCCTTAAAGTAAATTCATTTTTATAACATGAAGATATATTTCATGTAGTCTTAAACTGCCATTGCTTCTGCAACCTCACCCTTTATGTAAATTCATTGTTGTAACATGAAGATATATTTGACGTAGTCTCAATCCGCCAATGCTTCCGTAATCTCACCCTTTATGTAAATTCATTTTTACAACATAAAGGTATATTTGACGTAGTCTTAATTCTCCAATGCTTCCGTAACCGCACCTTTTATGTAAATTCATTTTTGTAACATGAAGATATATTTGATGTAGCCTTAATCCGCACTGCTTCCGTAATCTCGAGTCCTCAACTTTTATGTAAATTCATTTTTGTAACATGAAGATATATTTGACGTAGACTTAATCCACAACTGCTCCCATAACCTCACCCTTTATGTAAATTCACTTTTGTAACATGAAGATATATTTGACGTAGTCTTAATCCGCCACTGCTTCCGTAATCTCAAGTCCTCAACCTTTATGTAAATTCATTTTTGTAACATGAAGATATATTTGACGTAGTCTTAATCCGCAACTGCTCCTGTAACCTCGCCCTTTATTTAAATTTATTTGTATAACATGAAGATATATTTGACGTAGTCTTAATCCACCATTGCTTCCGTAACCCCGCCCTTTATGTAAATTCATTTTTGTAACATGAAGATATATTCGACGTAGTCTTAATCCGCTACTGCTCCCGTATTCTCTCCCTTTATGTAAATTCATTTTTATAATATGAGGATATATTTGACGAGAATTTATTCTTACACAGTGGTTTATAAGAGGACATACTGTTAATTTAGTCTGTCTTACATCTTAAAAAAGAAGTAGTTTCGTTTAACATTATAAACAAATATATTTCAACGAACTAAGTGCACATTAGCACATCAGAAAAATATTTTGCTTTAAATATATACGCTTCAGTTTTGTTTAATAAATTTTAAGTAGTTAAACTTTCCTAAAAATATAGCAATAAAATCAACAAAAAGCTCCTTTTAGAGTTTTTAGCAGCATTAGTTTAAAATTTTTCATAAGTCTTCAACCTAAATTAAAGTTAGTTTAAAAGTCTCCGTTTTCCATGGTTAACAAGATATCTTTAATATGTTAAAGACATCAATTACTACTCAATCACCAGGACATGTTTCAAATATTCTGACAATATTATAATTATTTGAGCAACATTGATGTGTTTTGACATTATATTGCTTCCTTCCACAACATCTGTAATGAAGTTTCTTGGCATGAACCTTGTAATATGACTAAAAACATACTATGTGGGATTTTTTGAAATTGACTGGGGGTGGCATTTTTTTGAATGTATAAAATTATGTGTTCCACCCTTTGCAACTGGAAACCTGCTTATGTCTAAAACATATGAGGTAAATGAAGTTGTTCCAAAAAAGGAACACCCCGACGAATAATTACTGTTCGTTTTAATTTATTATTTTATATCTCTTTCACCATTTGCACGAAAAGATGTTGAGCGACCAAAAATATATTAAAATACGTCTTTTCTCAAGTATACAAGCGAACAAAATGTGCAGCAGATTCCATTAAGTTATTTTTTGGGGCGAGCTAATAGCCGACCATATGTGTGTACTTATGTATTTGAATGAGACAAAACTACAAAAAAATATGTTCAGCAGTTGTTATCAGGAAAGGATTTAGGGTATGTCAAAAGAGTCATGCGACATGCGTGTTTTCCTAAAAAAATAATCTATTTTGAGTACAAAGGTCACCAAAATGATGAGTAATTACGTATTTTTTTTACAAAGTCCGAGTTGCATTTCAGTTTTATCTGAGGTTATTATTTGAAACGCCTTCTTGTTTACGGAGGTAGCGGTTAAGCGCACAAATCTCGCACCATCTGATGACTATATCCATTTATTTGATTGGCCAAAGCGTATTTCAATTATACTTGCCTCTTCTTGCGACTCATTTTTTGTAAATTACCGGGGGGGCTGTGTACTACTTTGATACTATATTTTCTATTAGTCAATGATGCCTTGACTTGCACGCACTGTTCACGACCGGGTGGAGTCGTCAATTTGAAAGTCAGGCGTATTGTATTCTATTAGCATATTTTGTTTTGTATTTGGTGGGCTATAATTTTGTAGAATAGTCGGACTATTCTAAAAATTTACTAAGTTGTAAAGGAAGCGTTTCTACGGCTTTAAGGTATTTAGATTTCAGTTTTGATTCAATTTGAAATAAGTATGTTTGAATTTAAATATAGATCATTGAAATATTGTACTTGTTGATTAGATCCTGGCAGTCTTTGAAGCTTAATCCTTAAAAAGAGTTTTTGGCCTGAGGGGCTGATTACATGAGCCCAAATACATGGGATTCAGCAAATCGATAAATGATTTTGGCAAATGGAAAAGATTAAATACTTATCATCAGATAAATTATCTTGAGCATTTTTACAATATTCTGACTTTACAGTATTCTGACTCGAATCATGTAAATAACCCCTGACAACTTCCAACTTTTTCTTCGCTTATATGCATTGTTTTGGTAAGCTTCCTGTCTATGATTTTGCAAAGTGGAAGTTACATGCTTTGCATGGGGTATAAAGCAAAGCTGTTAGCTGCTACAAGTTGCAGTCTTAGGAACATTGATAGAAGAAGGAGTAAGAAAACATCTCTACAATTGTGGTTGCATTTTGCAAAGTTGAACAAAGCGTGAAAATTTGCAGGTAATTTTTTTATTCGATTCATACATGCTTTATCTCTTGTGGGCTTATGTCATCGTAAATCTAGCGACATAAGTTTTTTTGAATACATTCTTGAAAGTAAAACTCCATGGCCAAAATACGTCTTGATTTGTTACGTTCCTATATTTATAAATCTTGATTGAAATCCGTTCATGGTTATCAAGTAACGACGAGACAAATATTTACAAAACTACAGAAAGCGTTTATCGCTCTCTGCTGAAGTTGATCGAATTGAGCACGCATTAAGATAATTTTCTCCAAATTATCGAAATCAATACACTCAGAATGATGAAAGCCATGCAATTATTTAACGACGTTCCACAGTTATTTTAAATATTCATCATAAAAATGAGTTTGGCGAATCTCATTGTTGAACGCACGCCCTGTAAGGTGGCACTATACCAATCATCTTCTTTTTACTTGTATCAAAACAAAAACATTTTCAAACAGACTTAAATTTGCATTAGCAGAATTTCAAACAATAAAGTGAAATCTGCATGTATCACATAAACCAAAGTTACTACATATAAAGATCTTGCCATTCTATGTTTTTTATTACATGTTATAAAATAAGATTCAAACTATATAAGATAACAATAAATTGCTTGTGTGACATTTTATTTGGCATTAAGTACACTCATCTTTGTGAAAATGGTTTACACATTTTCATTCTTAAGTTTTTTACTTTTCGATTGCTTTAGTTTGTTAGTAAATAGCTCAAGTTTTAGTGCTCGCTATTAATAAAATACCACACACTTATTGTTTTTATACCACGCAAATTGAAAGAAACGTTTTTGTTCATTTTTCTCACATCTGGAACTTATAACTAATGAATGTCACAGTGAACACTTGTAACCAAACAGTAGATTTAAAGGTAGCTCAGTATGAAATGCTACCTTTTGTTTAAAAGTGAAATTTTAAGCATGGTATTCACTTGAGACATAAGCCTAAGGACAAGCAAAGACAAAAGAAAATAAAAAGAATGCAATGAAGCGGCCAACACAATCATCAACTTATAAGCATAAGCA